GGCAGAACCATAACTTCTGCCACCTGGTCCAGATTTTAACTTATTATTCACATTACTAATCCGTACATTCACCAGTCTGATCTTACAAAAATTTACAGATTTTAAACTGCAGGGAGAGGAAAGGGAGAGAAACAAATCGTTGGTATTTCTTTTAGTATGATTTTTCTATCTTTACCGCTCTCTCTTTAAAAGAAAACAAAAATTGTCCTGGGTCTGAGGACTTAGATGGCTTTTTCTTACAAATTACAATTCTATTTTACATCTGTACCTTTTGATTATAGCATCTCTGCAATTTTAAGAGGTAGCTGCAGCTACTACTGCAGCACAAAAAGCTTCTGTAATGTAAAAGCAGCAACTTAACAGTTTTAAAAGAGCACTTGAACACTTTTAAGCTTTCTGTCGGTTAGCTCTTGTGTACTATTTTAGCTGAAATGCTCTGTTCATTTTAAAACTCTGCTCCAGTTGTTTTAAAACAACTTTTTAACTGCAGTTTTAGTCCGCGCTTCTCTGGGCTGGTTCGCCGAGCCTTCGGGCACTTGTACATTTCCCTGGCCCGAGATCTCTGCCTCCCCTTTCCGCTGTGCCGCTCGCCGGCCCCGGCCCGCCCGTGCCGCCTGTTCGCCTGAGGCAAACAACCAAGAGAAAAAAAAAAAAACAAAAAACCCAAAAAAACCACCCCAAAACCCTGCAGCTTTTTAATTCTCAGGCAGGGGGGAGGGGGGTGCTACCGTGCTCTGATTTTAGCCCGCTATGTAGGATGCGCCGCTTGCTCCTACACCCTCCTTTTTCTTTAACTTCATGTTCTACTCTCCTCCTTAGGCCTATTTACTTGCAGAACTGCTTTTTATTATTTTTCTTTTTACTGGTATACACACAAATAAAACAAGACTTTTTGCTAACTTATCGATCTCGCAGAGAGCCGAACCACGGATTTTTCAGTTAGCAATTTTGTGAGCTCTCGTACCTTTTCCCTGGATCCAGCAAGGTTCTTCATTCCTCCTGACCCAGCCAGTGGTCCAAGAGACCCCCAATGTGGGGCTCTTGTATGTGTGTGTCTCCGAAGAAACCCCCCTCACCTCCCTTTTTCTCCCGGGCCTTCAAGTGTGTGTGTTGCTCGGATTTTCACTCGCTTCCCCTTCGACCGACCGTTTCCCTTGCGGGAGGACGGAACTGCGATCTCAGGGTCCACACTCGCTTCGTGAAAATTCCACGTCTCATACACACACACATACACACACACTGGACCACTCTCCCACCCAACCCCGCGATACTTACGGCTCCTTTTCTCGTGTGGAGTCTTCGTGCACGTAGATTTAACGGGTAAAAATAGCTGGCTTCCATGGAGAGCTGTCTCCGCTTTCGAGAGCTCTGGGCCCGTTCCACCGTTTGGTTGTGGTAAAATTTGTGGCTACAAAAAGTTCGTTTTTATCTGGTTGGTTCCGATGGGTTTTCCCAATCTTGTCCGGCCGCTGAAAATCAGCGGGGCGCTGCCCGGACTTTGAAAGGGGAACCCTGGAATCCTTACCAGATCACGTCGGGGTCACCATATGGTTATAAATAAAAAATGTGAATTAGCCAATTTTAATAAAAATATGAAAAATAAAATTTATTTTGCGACCATAAAAACAGTCTCAACAGCCACCACCAAAACGGCCAGCGTATCACCCCCGGGAAGTGATATGGGTGAACGTGAGGAAAGGACCAACTGGTACCTAGACCTCCCCATCCACACCTACTGCTTGCAAGGTAGCAGTTTTTATACAGTTTATTTGGCCTGCGGCAGAAAGTCTTTGTTTCCTTCTGAGTTCTTCATATTCAAGGTGGTTTCTTTCCCTGGACAAAGCTTCGTCCGGGGGTGGAATGGTCCATTTCTCTGGTTCCCGGAATCTGGTATTCAGATTCAAAGTGTTGATGGTTCTGATCTCCACAGATAGGCATCTTGTCTGGGCCATCAGCACCTTGGTGTCTTTGGGCTCGTCCCTGGTGCAGCTAGAGTTCTTTTCGGATGCAAATACTGAGATGTCCATCTGCTGCGGCTTCATGATCTCGATCTCGTCATCCTGTTTAACCTAAAGGGAATGAAGATTTCCCCCCCCCCTTTTTTCTCTTCCCAGTTCACATATATATTTTTATATATTATTTTTTTCTCCACGAATTACTATTTATATTCCTAACAGTATCCAAGGGCTTATCTGAAGTATTTATTTTTTTTTTGCTGTATTCTGCAATAATATTTCAATATTTTAATATTGAAATTTCAGTATTTCAATAGTTTTTGCAAAACTATTGGAATTTAATGTTAACCTGATTACTACTGGAACACTTTGCTTGTTTAGCAGTGTAGCAGGAGGTATATAATACTGTTTATTGCCTTGATTAATGTCAAATGTTTTTAACACCCTTCATATGGCAATTTTATAGTAGTTGTACTTGCACATGAGCAAATGTGAAGGCCAAAAAAACTTGAAACGTTTGATCTGATCTGCCAGCATTCCAAAAGCTGTTTTGTAAGAGTAGATTTTCCTAATTTTTGCATTATGATCCCCACAGGTATTTAAGAACATGTCACAGAAGCAAGAACCAGGTGTCTGTATGGTCATTTATTAGCTGAGTGAATGGGGTTTCTCACAATTCTGTTTTTATTACCATGTTATAGCACTTTGTTCTTCATTAAAAAGTAAAGCTTTATTAAGGGGAAGCCTGATAGCATTCAAACTTAATTTTAAGCTTGCTTTTCTTTTAGTCAGTGGAGTGAAGAAGATGAAATTGCAGACTACAAGCAAAACTGTGAATGGATGGATGAATGTCAGGATGTAATGTTTGAGACCTGGTATGAAAAGATAGCTCAAGCTGACCCAGAGAAGCAGAGAAAGGTGACCTCATGTTTTGTATGTTTACCTGCAGAAGGGGTAAATAAGAGTCCTTTAAAAGCCTAAAGGGCAGAAAGGAGTCTGGTTTATTGTTAATTTTTATTAGCTGGATCTCTGTAGACTTTCAAGAGTCTAGAATGTTAAAATATCCCGATTCATTTTTGGCAGGGGAAATGTTCTGCTTCGTGTCTGAAGCATTGTCAAAGTCAGAAATAACACTCAAGTAAATTGTGTTGGTTTATTGCTGCAGATGCACATGTTTGTTGCTCGTTACTGTGACCTGTTAAACGTGGACATTTCCTGTGATGGCTGTGACGAAATCGCACCGTGGCATCGCTACCGCTGTCTGCAGTGCAATGACATGGATCTGTGTAAAACCTGTTTCCTTGGTAAGAACCATTAAATAACCCCTCAAAACCTTGTATTTGAAACCAAAACAGTATCTTGGAAGTTATTGTCTTGGTTTGAAAAGAGAGGTGTCTGCTAAGGAAGGCAGGAGCCTCCCCTGAAATGGAAAATGCACACCCCTTCCCTCTGAATTATTGTAATTCTGAAATTAAGGGGCTCTCAGGCAAAGATATGGGAGTAGGAATAACAGTTCTTTATTAGGGAAGAAAATAAAAATAGAAAAATGCACTAACACAAAACAACACTGCCAGAGTCAGAGCAGGAGCTGAGCCCTGTGGGTCAGGGTGGTGGCACAGTTCCATCCCATGGGGGCTCAGCCCTCCTGCAGTGCCAGCTGTGCTTCTGCTGGAGCAGGGATCCTGCACAAGGGGGGAGTTTTCCTCTGAAGCTCCAGGGCTGCTGGAGATGGGCCTGCTCTTCCTCTGGGAATGCAGGGCAGGAGAAAGCTGCTCCTCTGGAAATGCAGTGGGCAAAGGCTGCTGTGCTGTTCCAGGCACAGATTGTATCCAGGTAGGAATGCTTGGCTCCTGCCCTGGGCGGAGCATCTCCCCATGGGATGCTGGAATTTGATCAGCCATGCAGGGACACTCAGTAGCCATGAACAGCAGAAATCTCCTGGAGGGAGGATTGGCTGTGGAAGAGATAAAGAAAACTGCCCCACCTGGTTTTAACAGGTGGTCCAGTGAACAGAAGATAACTGTCCCACCTCTAACAGATGGAATAGAATACACACTCCTACTCACATCTTGAAACCCAGGACAGTTGTACACAAAATAAAGTCAAACACTTTTCTTCTGTGTTCTTTAGAAATGTTTAAGTGTTCTTTCCCTAGTATGAATATGAACCTGAAGTTAGGAAAAGTCCTTTGTCAAAAAAATTTACAGGGAAGTCTTTCTTTACAGGTGGAGTTAAACCTGAAGGACATGAGGATGACCATGAAATGGTGAACATGGAATATGCCTGTGATCACTGCCAAGGAGTTATCATAGGTCGGAGAATGAACTGCAATGTTTGTGATGACTTTGACCTTTGCTATGGATGCTATCATGCAAAGAAATACTCTGACAGGTATTAAAAATGTGATTTGCTTTCCCCCATGTGGCAGAAAGACAGTATTTAGTAGCTAAATACAATCAGTCATTCTCATTGTGCTTCCTATAAAGCTGTGTCTGACATCAGAACATCTCCTTGGTGTCCTTTGGGGAAACAAAGATAGGACCAGTTTGGCAAAAATGTCTGGAAAGCTGCCTCAGCCTCTGAAGTCACTTGGTAGCAATTGTTTTCTGGATGTGGCTAGGAAAGCTGCAGAAGGAGTTACCAGTCCTGTATGACAGGAGAGAAGAGACAATCCCTACTGTGGAAACAGTTTTCAGTGCTTGACACCAGAGGTCATAAAACCCTGGTCCGCAGTTTGAACCTCTGGAATGTGTTGGGTTTCAAGTGGTTTCCTCTGAAGATAGTTAGTGTTGACTGACTATGTTGGTTAGCAGAAAACCAAAAGCTGCATTCCTAAAACTGTCCCTTGTCCTTGCAGCCACCTGCCCACCCACAGCATCACAGTGTACCCCATGGTGACCATCCGCATCAGTGACCGCCAGCGCCTCATCCAGCCCTACGTCCACAACTACTCCTGGCTGCTCTTTGCTGCCCTCACCCTCTACAGTGCAGATCTGGCAAATGGGGAGGAAGTAGAAGGAGAGCAGCTGGATCCCCAGATCCTCAGCCATGCCAGAGTTCTGCAGCATCAGTGCATTCAGCTCATTGGGGACTGCCTGATGAAAGCACAGCACGGAAAAGGTGAGTCAGCTCCTCCTGCTCTGAACAATGCTTTCTACAAGTGTCAGAAATGTCTGTGGTTACTGACTTGAAAGTTTCCAAAGGAAAGGGGAAGCTACTGTGTACTTCACTGAGAATAACTGTTTATGTAGAAAGCAAATGTAGAACAAGTGTCGTTCAGGGTCGTTGGAACATGGAAAATAGAGTGCTTGAGAAAACTAATTTTATGCTTACATAAACATTGGACACAACTTGGCAAGTCTCTGGTTGTTTTTTTTTCCATCTTAGCTGTTGTAAAGGGATCAGTCAATACAGCTTCATGTTCTTTTTGTAATGTATCACTGACAGCTGAAGGACAGCAAATAACTTGGTGGAAAAAGTTTTTTGTTCTGCATCTCATGGGAAGAGATTTTAAACTGTGTTTCTGGTATAAATTTCTGGCAGTGGTGTTGATTTGTCTGGAAATAGGGGTTTCTGTGAACAAAGACCTACTACAGAAAGTAGGGTTATACAATAGGGACCTATTTTGAATGTATCAAAAATTCTAGACTAAAATTCAAATAAGGTGCTGGTAGCTTTTGTGAGCAGCTCTAATACAACTGAAATACCACCACCACCAAATACTTACACATACTCATTAATTAATCTGTTTACAGTATACAGTTCTGTTGTGCAGGTGGTCAGAAAATTGAAAAATAAGACATACGTCATTTGCTATTCATAATTTACACTCTACTGTTTTCTTAAATTAAGACCTCTACCTAATGGCATCTTTGAGGTGGAAGATGTCACCATCTGTCCATCACTAGTATTTAATGACACTACATAATTATATGAGCTTGATAGAAAATATGTTTTTGATTAAGTTAATGTTCAAAAGAATTCTGTAAGTAGTTTGAAGTTCTCTTTTAAAGTGTTTCAGTTCTGCTTTTTGTCTGTCTTGCCACTCAACAGCTAAATAACTTTCATAACTTTTTTGCTCCCAGGACTGAAAAATTTAGCTCTCCTCTGCATGTTACCAGAAGATGAGTCCATCTCAGAGAATGACACTGTTGCAGGCAGTCCTCCCACAGACAGTGCTCCAAAAAGTCATCCTGGTGATAGAGCAGGGAAGGGAAGAGATGAGAAACGCAGCACAGGCTCCTTGGTGCATCGTAGTGTAAGTAGCTGTTATCTCCAGAACCCCTGATATCAGACATGTGATCTGATAATAAACATCTTCAGGTGCTTAAACACCCTGTTCTGAATGTGGGACTGAAATAAGGGATAGTAATGATTTCATTTGTAGGTAAAAGCTGGGGGGAAAGGGGACAGTTGTTTTTTTCATTAGATCTGGCTGATCAAAAACTTCTTGTTCTGAACTGAACAAAGTTCTGAATTTTCACAAAAGGGTTACAGGAGAGGGGCATGTCTTGTTCTTTGTGAAAGGGCTGTTATGTCCCTGGTTGTTAGCACTCTTGAGTATTATTATGAGTTTCTTACAGTTTTATACAGTTTTTAAAACTATTACAATGTAATAGTTTTATGCAGGGAGATATGAGCAAAATAAAATAACATAATTTAATTGTATGGAAACTTAAGACATGAATACATCAACAAATTCTTAACTAGAAGGTTTTGATACTCAAAGAAAAATGTTGGTAAAGTGCAGATGACTGAATTCTTTCCATGCTTGTTCCCGCAGGTATTCCATTTTGTTTTAATCTTTTAATACTTCTGTTTTATTTTTAGGGGAAAGGAGATACTCACAAGGAAATCCAGTCTCCTGCAGAAGATAAAGTAGGAAAACAAGAAATTGAAATCAAACCTGTCTCTGCAAAGAAAGCTGTTGTGAGACAAGAGTCAGACTTGTCTGTGGATGGGAATGTTCCTGCAACAGGTAAAACATAATTTCTTATTTTCTCTGTCACAGAAACATCCACTCATCTGCAAACAGCTGTCTTTTTTATTCCTAATTCAGTTTTGCATATTTTCTAATGTCTGTGTCTGCTTTGTGAAAACCTGCCAGACATTGCTTTGAACAAATGCCTTGCAGTCTGTTTAAAGGAGTCTGGAAATCAGAGTAGATTTCCACAAGTATTTATCCATGTATGGAGATAATAGTCACTGTTGGTCTAACACAACACTTGTGTGTTCTGATGCACTTGGAACCAGAAAATAAGTGTCTTATCCTGTTAAAATTAAATCTGGGATTGTAAGAATTTTGAAAGTTAAATGGTTCTGTCTAGCACTGTCCTTTATATGTTTTACTAGATGGTATAAATTTCATTACCTTCTGTTTCTATACACTTCTAAAAAGATTTTATTTTTAAATTGTAATAATTCTTTTTTATAATTTCTATTTATTTTTAGATTTGGATTATAAAAATTAAGCTATGACTTATTTATGTTTAATGTCACTTAGGGGATTTTCTTATTTTGTTTTTATTTACAAAGCAGGTGACTCCGTCTCAGAGGATTCAACCCCAAAACCAACAGAGAAGGTTTTAATACCTAGCCAGGAACAAGTTTTTGCTGAATGCTCTCAGAAGAGGATTTTGGGGTTGCTGGCAGCTATGTTACCACCTTTCAAATCAGTTAGTTCTTTTTCCTTCCATGTGTTTTTTTTTCTATGTGCACAAATAACATGAATAAAATTCACAGGAATTAAATGTGGGATATGGACCCATGTTGTTTACATGTTATGAAATGTGAATTAGAATGTCTTCAGACACTGACATCACTAAGGAATGTAAGGGCTTGTTCCTGGGTGAAGTGAGAGGGAATGGAATTTTAATGTATCTGTGAAGTAGAGTCTTAACTGTTTAGCAGAGTTTAAGTCTTCAGTTTAGCTTCACATGCCAGGGCCAATAACCAAAGTAGGAATGTAGTTTCTCATTCCTTCTGTCCATTTGAAAGACCTTCAGAATAGAAGCTTTTGTATGTGCTGACTTTGACTAAAAATCTTGTTTTCTTTCCCTGCCTCACTGAGATTTTTCTCTCTCCACAGGGCTCCACAATGTCTCTGATCAACCTGGAACAAATACTTCCACTGATGTTTCATGTTGTAATCTCAAATGCTGGCCACCTGAATGAAACTTACCATTTAACCTTGGGACTCCTGGGCCAGTTAATCCTCAGGCTCATGCCTGCAGAAGTGGATGCTGCTGTGACTAAAATCCTTTCAGCCAAACATAATTTGTTTGTACCAGGAGATGGATCTACAGTGCCAGAAGGATGGAAGACAACTCATCTTCTGTTCAGTCTGGGAGCTGTGTGTTTAGACAGGTGCTTCTTACTTTAACTCAATCAATTAATCTCTGCTGAACAGTAATTTTTTTTTCATGTATGCCTTGTACATAGAGGCTTTTTAATAGAAAGGTAATTAATGTACCTGGCCATGGAAGGGGCTTAGCACCTGCAGCCTTTGTTGCAGTGGGAATCCTGATTTCCTTCCAGAAGGCTGGCTGCTGAGGAATGGCCTAATTTCCTGTGCTTACCTACACAGCATGTCATGGAGGAGGAATTGAGGTTTGGAAGCTACGAGGAAAGCCAAAAATACAGTCCTTTACTTTTTGTGTGCCATTCATTCTCTCACATTGTTACAAATCCCTTGTGTAACTTGGGAAAGGAGGAGGGTGTGTCACATAACTATCACCAGTGCTGACTTCTGGATCTGGCCCTACTATGTAAGAGTACTTGAGAGAGAGGTTTTTTATAGTGAAATTGCACTGGAAACAGCAATTTCACTATAAACAACAACAGATTTAGAAGATCTTGAGAAAGTTCTCAAGCATTCTGAGATTAATGTCATGCCTGTTAAATGTGACTTTTTTTTTATTGTGGTTGTGTTTTACTGGGAGGGTTCATAAACAAATAGGAAAGCATATGGAATTGTTTTCATTATTTTAAAATTTATGAAAAGCATACAAAATTTGAGAATATCCAAAGCATAAGCTGAGGGAAAGGATTTTCTCAAAAACTAACTTTAGTGTTAGAGACCAATCCCTGTAGGTTATTTGTGTGATCCAGAGAGTGAGCAGGTGGTCGAGAACATGGGATGTAAACCTCTTGCTGCCATGCAAACAGAAACTTCTGAGTTCTAAACTAAAATTCAGAGTTAACAGTGGCAATGTTCAGGCACACTTTGGTTTGAGCCTGTAGACCCTTTCAGAAAGCAGAATAGTATTTATGCTCTGTGGAAAACAAAGCAGAATTCATGTGTCACTGGGATGAAAGTTTCAAGTATTTGCAAAAACAGTTCTGTAGCAATTTGAAAGCTGCAGCTGTGACAGATGATCAGTGATTTGCTGTCTTGAGGAGGAATAGCTTCAGGAGAGTGTGCAGTCAGCCCTCCTAAAGCAGCCTGCTCTTGCTTTGCAGCCGCGTGGGGCTGGACTGGGCGAGCTCCATGGCAGACATCCTGCGGGCTCTGAACTCCTCTGCACAGTGGCACCATGTCATTGCTGCTTTCACTGACCACTGCATAAAGCAGCTGCCCTTCCAGCTAAAGCACACCAACATCTTCACTCTATTGGTGCTGGTTGGCTTTCCTGAGGTAAGTAGCCTGTCAGTCCTAAAGGAAACAAAACTGGAAACAAAAGCTTTTAAGTATCTCTTTCTAAATGCTACAGATTCCAGCAATGGGAGACAGCCTTTCTAAACTCTCAAAATCTGATGTGTGTCAGAGTTGACATCTTTCCACTTGTGCACAATTAACATTTATCTAATGAAGAATAATGAGCTGGTTTTGTCTCGCATTTTTTGGATGTTGCTTATAACTGCTACAAGCAAACCAGCTTTATTTGTTTCAGTATCTAAAAGGACTTTTGTACAAGCAAAACAATCCATTCTCCATCTTGATGTTCATAGCTGATACATTGCCTATGGAACATCAAGTTGGTTGTTGTAGACATTTCTTTTATAGAATTCAACTTCTATTTTCTAAAAACCAGCAAATACCAGGCATCAAACAGTGGTTCAGCTAAAAAATACAATGGCAAGAATAAGCAAATGTAACCAATATAAGACATGGCTGTGTATTTGTAAATAAGTATTCCAAATCCTAACTGAAGTTGTGCTGCCATTCCAGGTGCTGTGTATGGGCACTCGTTCTGTGTACATGGACAATGCTAATGAGCCTCATAATGTGATCATCCTGAAGCACTTCACTGAGAAAAACAGGGCAGTGGTTGTAGACATCAAAACCCGAAAGAGAAAAACAGGTTCTGTAACATTTTTGTTTTATCAGAGAATCACAGAGTATTTCCTTACAGTTTGTTAAAAGCAAATGTTAACTAGACCACTGTGCAGGTCTGCAGAGTTTGAATTCCATTGTTAGTAAGTTGCCTGACTTTCTGCTCATAGGTTACCAGATTCTGCTTGCAGGTCACTGCCAAATTGTGAAGCTTCTGCCGTAATTACTTCAATTATTTTTATTAAGAGAAGGATTTAGAAAGCTGTTGAGACCATTCTGTTGATTGAGAAATCTCAGAAACAGGCTTTTGATGAAGATGTAGTAGTTGTTTCTGTTTCAGATTTGTGTAGTGCTTGTGTCTTATCCTTTACTAACTTGTGCTTAATGTTTTAGAAAAATTGCTAATTTAAAAACAGTTTGGATATTCCTACAATTTGAGACCAAGTGAAATATTTAATATATAGCAAGTCAGTTGGGTTTTTAGAAGCAAGGGCTTTTCTCTTTGTATGGCCTAATATAGTGAAGTTAATAAAGCAAAGGTTGTCCTAAGATTTGACTACTGAATTTGTGTAAAAGACATTTGGAAAAATCAACAGACTAAACCACTTTTTGATATTCAATGAAGATTTGAATAGAAAAGCTTTTCTTTTTGTTTAACTGTTGACATTTTAAACAGTAAGATCAGCAGTATTTATTTCATTATATCAATTGCAGGTCAGAATTTTCCCCATTTTAACTGTAAAATACAACACGAGCTACTTTGCACACTGTACTGCTGATGTGCAAATATGTGCTGTTGCCAGGAGTGACCTGGGGATTTTGAACTTGTACTGAAAAATTAAATACTTTCTTGACTGTTCAGGGAATCTGAGATAATTTCTGTATAAGACCTTTATTAGAACATGATTGATGTAAGGATGTCTCATATCTCAGCCTACTCATATCTACTAAGACATGACTCTACAACATTTTGATGTGATCCAAGTGAATTGTGTTTTTTCTCTCTTGTAGTGAAAGACTATCAGTTGATTCAGAAGTGTGAGCAGGAAGGCAGTGATTCCCAGACCCAGCTGAGGCAGTACCTGCAGCACTTTGTCCTCATCTCCACCCACCTCCTGCAGACCAGCATGGACAGCAGCTATGCTGAGGCAGTGGAGACAACTTGGGTCTTGTCCCTGGCTCTGAAGGGGCTGTACAGAACTCTGAAGGTATCTGCCACAGAATATGATAGAGAAATAAGAATTCATGTTCTACCCTGTGCTGCAGGGTATTGACTGAGCCCACTGGGGAATTGCCACAAGGGCATTTCTGTCACAGCTGGATCCCTTTATTCCCACTCTCTAGGGGGTTGGAAATGTTGCTGGGCTTTCAATAGCTTTTGTTGAGCTGCAGAGTTGTTTTGCTTCTCCTCTGTGGGGGCCAGCCAATCAGGAGACCTCAGGAAGAAATTCCTAGAGGTAACATTTTATGGAGTGAAGCTCACTTTTCTCACTCCTGAAGTATTTGAAGAGGAATTTTTTTAAAAAAATTTTTTGAGTGTCAATCAAAACAGATTCTCAGTTACTACTCTGTGCACATCATAGATGATACCTTTAAGGGCTTTGAAGTGAGGATTTTTATTTTAGGGAAATGAAAGGAAAAGATTCCCAGTGTAGTTCATCTGGGCAGGATCTTTAAGGATCTGAAGTGAGGATTTTTATTTTAGGGAAATGAAAGGAAAAGATTCCCAGTGTAGTTCATCTGGGCAGGAAATTCACCCAAGGCTGTGTGACAAGAACTCACAAGCACTGTGATGCATTGTTCCTTTTTTAGTTATTTATTTGTGTGTGTGTGTGTCTGTGTGTGCAGATTCATGGCTTTAAGGAGATCCAGTCTGCCTTTCTTCAGTCTGGTTTACTCAAACTTCTAGTGAAGAAGTGTAGCAAAGGAACTGGCTTCAGTAAGACTTGGCTTCTCCGAGACTTGGAGGTAAGAAAAGTGACATTTTGTAAAAAGTTAGGCTTCACACAGTGGCATGAAAGGTTATGGCAGTACACTGCCCTCCTGGGGACTCAAGATTATCTCTAATTAGTCTCTAAAAAAACGGTCACTTAACTGTATCCCTGAATCTGCCTCCTTCTGCCCATCATAATCCTGTGGATAATAGACTAAATTCTTTAAAGCAGGAGCTGATTTTCACTAATCTGATTTTATTTGGAAAACAATTTGCAGGATGAGACATCACTCACCTACTCAGATTGTTTTATGGATTTTATTTAGACTGTTCTTGAGAATTCCATTCTTCAATTTACAAAATAACCTCAAAGAAAGGCATGACTTGCACAAGGTTTTGCTGCAGTGCAGGTGGGGAGATCAATGCACACGTGGGCATATTCTTTCACAGTGGTTGTTAATTGCTGAAAGATAAGTGTGGTTCAACTGTTACTTATGTTTTGTCTTAAGCAGGAGTTGTGTTAATTCATCTTTAGGACTGTGATGAAGCCAAAGGGCTGTTTTCAAGGGAGCAGAGTGTGTAGGGGCATCACTGGCATTCTGGGGATAGTCACCTTTGCTTTGTTTTTGTCTTGGAATCTACAAATCTTTGATGCACTGAAATGGTTAAATAATTACTTTCTCAACTTCCTTTGCACTTTCAGCTAATCACTGAAGTTGTCTTTGCAGCAGCATGGAAGGTGTAACTCATTAGTGAAGTAGGAAATGGTTTTTGTTTGTGTTTTGGGGTTGTTTTTTATTTTTAGGTGTGCTTCTTTGTAAAATAATGTGTTAAGCACTGTCCAGGTCTGACAATGTTCCTCTAAGATGCTGATTGCAAATAAAGTAATAATACCTACAGCTGTCACACCATATGCTACCTTTTTTCTGTGTAGATTTTGTCAATAATGCTGTATTCCTCAAAGCAAGATATCAGTTCCCTGGCTGAACAGGAGGATACTGAGCTGGAAGACAGGGAACAAGATCAGGATGTGGAGCAGCCTGTTGTTGGTCCTGTTGACTCAGAGCAGAACAAACTTGATCCTCTGGAGGGCCTGGATGAAGCCACCAAAATATGCTTCTTGGTATTTAAATTAGTTTACCTTCTTTTGGGTAAATGTGCATTTGCTAGTTGCATAAAACATTTGGTTATTCATATGGTTGTTTTCCTTCTAAATTTATAGAGTATGGGTCTATGATTGCAATGCATCATTCTTTAAAGAAAACAAAACAGAACTACAGTAATGAATGCTACAAAATCATTATACAGTGTTTTGCTAAATTCTTCTCATTATTATTAATCCAGATACTGAGTTCATTAATTCTCTACCTACAAAGTGGGAAATAATGCTTAGATCATCCTTAAAGAAATTCAATCTTTCCTTTCCCCCTCTGATGTGTTTTTGAGGGTTTTTAATTTCTTTTTGCTCCTTGCTCAGATGACACATGATGCACTTAATGCACCTCTCCACATTCTTCGAGCCATGTATGAGCTGCAGATGAAAAGAACAGAATCTTTTTTCCTGGAAGTTCAAAAGAGGTATGTGAAATTCTGGGTCCAGCAGAGAAAGTGGTGGGTGAAAATCTAAAATCCTCTCAGTGCTGGATAGAAATTCTTCCAAGGATAAGATTTGGTTTTCATGTGTGAAAAAGTAAGGAAATAAACTCCTGCAAAGTTGTATTTATGGAAGCAAGTCACCATCTTCTAAAACACATCACATGCTCTTTTCTATGTGGTAGCTCCCATATGAAGATCCACTGTGGCTCTGAATTCTGTGAACTGAGTCAAGAGCTCACATGTGGCTTCTGGTACTCAAAGCATCTCACAGAGACACCATGTTCTCACAGAAATGAGTGATTTTGTAACATTAAAATCCTTTGGCTTGTTAAAACACTGGAACAGTTAACATGACAAAAATAGGCATAGCTTAATCTTTCCAAAACAGAAGGTGGGAAGATTTAATTTGCATTTAATTGCCCTAATTGAGTTTGCATTGCTTTGGAAACACATTTGTGTATTTTTGATTTTCTGTGAAGGTTTGATGGGGATGTGATCACAACGGACGAGAGGATCAGGACGCTGGCTCAGAAGTGGCAGCCCAGCAAACGCCTGAGGCTGGAGGAGCAGAGCTCCAAGGCAGTGGATACAGACATGATCATCTTGCCCTGCTTGGTATGGACACCTCTACAAAAAGCAACAGTTGGAAAATAATCTATTTTGGCATTCATGCCTGAGAATTTTTTTTTGTACATCTGAAATAATCTGTTATCAATGTTTTATGTCAAAATGAATGAGTGAATGAGCAGGTACAAGAAGCAAGTATTTCTTCCTTGTTATTCCTTCCTTAAGGAAGTGAAAGAACTTGATTTCCATATCAGGAGAACAAATTGTGATTGCAGGCTGTAATTTCCTCCCCTTACACAAGAGATTGTATCTCACTGCTGTAAGCTTATGCTCTACTACTGTCTTAGCATATCATTGTTATCTTACAGTACATTCAGCAGAACAAGGAAGCAATGAAATGATCTTGTAAAGTAGACACTACACTTGCAAGCTTTGGGTTTTGCATTCAATTGCAGGGTCCCACAGCTCTGCTTTATTTTGAGGGCTCACTCCTGGTTGTGGGGCGTCAGCACAACTGTTTATCAGTTGCATTGCAAAGGAGAAGGAGCTTCCTGAAGCAGTTTCACAAAATTATAAGAAAAAGATAGGCCTTTCAACAGCTTATACAGAGGCTGTGAAATACCCACGCCTGGAAATTGTCCAAACTTAACTGGACAAAGCCCTGATTTTGAAGTTATCTCAGCCTTGAGTCAAATTTGGAGTAAGTGATCTCCAAAAGTCCCTCCCAGCTTGCCTCATTTCAGGGCACTTGGTAGCTCTACCTCTGTAGGTGAGCTTCAGTTAACACTTCTGGTTGGATTTCTGACTGCTGTTTCCACAAATGCATCAGTGTATAGTGAGGTGTGTAGACATAAACAGTGTTTCTCAGGAAATCTACAGCTATGTGAGAAATCCTACTTTTGTGGGGTTTTTGACAAATTCATTTGTAAATTCAGCTTGCAGTTTGACCAGTCAGATATCCAAACATAAGGCAGTAAATTACTGACAGCCTGTTTTCAAACTTGCATTTCTCTTCTTGCAGTCAAAGCCTGTACTCTGTGATAAAGCAACAGAAGAAACCAATCCTGTTGCCCAGAAACTCATCACCAACACAGAGAGTGACCTGCAGCTCAGCTATGCCAAGCAGCGCCGCACCAAGAGTTCCATTCTCCTGCACAAGGAGCTGGACTCCAGGAGCAAAAAGGCTGTGAGGGACTACCTGTATCGTGTCAATGAGGCCATTGCAGTTCTGTATGCCAGGCACGTGCTGGCATCCTTGTTAGCTGAGTGGCCTGATGATGTGGCAATAAATGAGGAAATCCTCGATCTCAGTGGCCCAGCCCATATGACATACATCCTGGACATGCTGATGCAGCTAGAGGAGAAGCAGCTGTGGGAAAAAGTAAGTGGATTTCACTTAGACATGTGAACAAAACCTGTGCCCATATGCCACGAGACTCTGACTAACAGAAGTACTTGCAGTTCCTTTTTTCAACTAAATTGAAACTCCAAAATTTAAATTAGTTCTGAAAAAACAGTTGGAAGCTGTCAGTGTCTTGATGTGCTGATCTTGTTAACAGAAAATGGAAAAAGTAGCAGTGTAGAGAGAACTCTTTCAGTTATGAAAGAGAAACTGGTAAAATAGGCAGTCTGGTTTGAAAATAGACAATATAGATGGTAATATAGAGAAATTGGTAAAATTGGCAGTGCCTTTTAAAAGCTGCTTTTTCTTAGATCTCAATGTCTGTATTGTAATACCTGCTCCTCCACTGATGAGCTGGTGGTGGAAGTGATCTTGGAATTATAATAGAATGTTGTAATGAAAGTGTCAGCTCAAGGCTTCACAGCAGTCAAAGCAAATCAAGTGCTGGGAATCTTCAAAAAGGGAATGAAAAATAAAGTAGAAGGCATTGATATGCCACTGAACCAATACTATGCACTCTTTTGGACTGCAGTGACTGCCCTCATCCCATTAAAAAATAAAAATAAGGTGCAGTGCAACTGGAAGAGGCCTGAAGAAGAATGGAAGGGATTATTACAGCCATGGAATAACTTCAGTATGAGAAACCAACTGTTTTTTTTCATTCTGGATCTTTCCCCTGTGAGGCACTGAGGGAGAAGGAGTAATGGAAAAGTCTGTTCCTCTTTCTCTGTAGGTTTAAAGCAGTAAATAGCATGCAAAACTTAAGAGCAAGTATTATTCACTGGCCCTCCCAGTAAGAAAACAAAGGAGTGTCAGATTAAGGTAATAAGTGGCAGGTCCAAAACAAACCAAAAGAACAGGCTCTTGACAGTAAGTCATGGAAATTGTTGCCCCAGGGTGTTTTAATGGGTTCAGAAAAGGGCAGGATGAACTGATAGAATAAAATCTATTAAGGCATATTAAATGCAAATAACTAGCCTTTGTCTTAGGTTGTTCTGCAAGTGCAGGGCAAAGAGTGCATTCAGGGAACATGCTGTCTTTAAAAAAGGAGGTTTTTAAACTCCTTTTCCCAAGAAATCAGGATTTGGAGATGAACCTGCAGGCCTGAGCTGATGTTTGACATTTTGTAGGAGGAGTTAGGAGATGGTAGGTGATGACATGGCCTTAATGAGTTACTCTGACATGGAGGGGCCTCAAGTAACAGAATTCCTGGATTCAGGGCTTTTCTGCACTGTTATAAAAATAAGAAAAAGGGTGACTCGGGTGGTTGTGAATGATTTTTAGTCTGCCCTGATAGATTAAAGGGCATTTTTGGGTAGTTTTAAACACACGGGACTTGCATCTGCTGCTTTCAAATCTTCAGCCATCTCATTGATACTTTATAATTTCTTCTTTCTGCACAGTGTTGTACTTTTTTTTTGTTTTTGAAGGCTAAAATATATGACATATTCTATTAAAATCAAAACCTGTGGGTATAGAAGGTAAAGGAGCCTGTTTAGGATGTTAACAAAGTTGTTTATCTCACTTAATTACAGCTTCAGTTTCCTGTTAATTACTTTATGGATTAGCCTTGATTCTAGCAGTTGTGAAGAGACATGGCCAATATCTGTCATAATTTTGTCAAAAAAAGAATGAAAGGTCTAGAACAGAAGACAGAGTGAAATCTTTTGTGCTTATGGAGATGACACTTGCAGGCATAATTTCTGAATTTATCTTGCTACTTGCTGGTTCCTTGGTTCCCTCTTCCAAAATACTGTGTGGCTAACATGACTCATGTCAGCTATCAGAATGTACAATTGTAAATGTTCTTTTGACAGCAAATTATATTTCCATGACATTTCTCCTCCCCAGATTCTGCAGAAAGTGCTGCATGGGTGCAAGGAGAGCATGCTGGGGACCATGGCCCTGACAGCCTGTCAGTTCATGGAGGAGCCAGGGATGGCTGTGCAGATGAGGGAGTCTCAGCATCCTTACAACAACAATACCAACTTTGAGGTAGGGCAGGCATGGGTTACAGGCATGGCTTGAAGCTGGAACCACCCAGGGGTTGGAGCAGAAGCCTCTCAGAGTTCCACATGGGTATCTGTGGGACTGAATTCTGTGCTTGGAGCACCTGTGAAATCTGCTCAGTTTTCCTTGGAAAAGGCTGAATCTGATAGTTCAGGCCTTGCCCTGCAAAGAAATATGTTCAATCAGGCACTTTAATGTAATTCTAATTCAATCATATGAAAAGTGCATAACTTATATGGTTTTACTGTGCATGTATTTGAAGTAGATCAGATTTGTAAATGGTTTCAAGGCCTTAATGATCAAATGTTTCTACCCTTCCTTCCAAAGATTTGTTTCAGTTGGCCTATTCCAGTTGGTCCTTGTGCTGTTAGATGAAAGTAGGAGTGGTGTCTTTTTTCTTGTATTTCTCATTTTAGACTCTTTCCCTGACACAAACATTTTCTGATTTTCTTCTCTTGATACTGTTTGATAGCATTTTTCTGATATAGTTTGGTAAGTAATTGTTGCCTCTGGGCAGTCTTGGGATTTTTAATTTCCCTGCTGCTCTGACTCCTCTGATTTTCATTTTTAAAATGCATATAAGCCTTAGGTTCTGGCAGCGAGATCAATATCAGCAACAATTTCTGCTTTTAAAAAAAGAAAGCATTGCTGGCAATTCATTTTACATGCTTAACAGCTAATGTGAACAATAAGCCATGCTTTACATTTGTTAAATTAGCTCAGGGTAAAAATATCAAAGTAAAAAACTCACAGAGATGCTGTAATATATTTTATATCTCCCTTGTTTGTATGGTGAAAGTTAAGTGGGCTATGGGCAGTACAGTGTGACAGGACACAAAGGTGCTGTGTTTATTTCTCAGGATAAAGTTCACATTCCTGGTGCTATCTACCTCTCCATCAAGTTTGACTCGCAGTGTAACACAGAGGAGGGCTGTGATGAGCTGCTCATGTCCAGCAGCAGCGACTTCCAGCAGGATCGGCACAGCTTCAGTGGGTCTCCACAGAAATGGACTGACTTCGAGCTTCCAGGTGAGCAGGACTGCTCAAGGGTGTGCAGGATACTGCTGGGACTCCTGGGAGAAACTCCTCATGACTTAAATGTGGATGTTCCTGAGATGTGTAGGGAAAAAGCCAGTCCTTTCCTTGTCCCACTGAGTTTGCTCTGACGTGCTGCTCTCGCATTTGTTTCTGCAAAGTGGCTTATCTGTTGTTGTGCTGTGACCTTTTCTTTCCACCACTCAGTCAAAGCATGCACTCAGCTACTGGAAACAAATTTGATCTTGGTTCTGTTCCAGCACAGTCCTTGTTCTGCACGATATTCACTTACATTGTTTATGCCTTGTCTTACTTTCCACAGGAAGCACGTTTTTTTATTTAAAAAAAGAAAAGATATGCTTATCTCTGTCTCCGTGCTCTGCTGCTGCTCTGAGCAAAGAGAGCCAGTGCCAGCACCTCGGCTCCAGCTGGTGCCACAGCTGGAAAAAACCCAGGGCTTGACTGCCAGCTGCACTCTGGATTCTCTAGGCACGTTTGTGAGAGCACAGTGAGGAGCAAATGCCAGAGAGCTCCTGGACTGCACAGTCCCCTGCTTCTGACTTTAACCTGGCTTAACCCACTGGGCACTGGGGCACTGCAGGAAGCTCTTGACTTCAAGGATTGTCAGCACCTGTAAAGAGATTTAGGAACTTTCTTAGCAAACCAGTTTGGGTTACAAGGTGCTGGTTTTGGGTTACAAGGTGCTGGTTAAAAGCAGATGTGTGTTCTGTAGAAATATTTTAGATTTTTGTGAACTTCTGTCTGTCTTCTTTTTCATCCCTAATAGTTGCCAAGATTTGCCAAGGAGCTGAACTTTGAAGCTCATTGTTTAGAGCAGCCTTGGCTGTGAAACTTGAGTTTCACCTTGTGGAAATTCATTTCCAACCAAGGCTGTCTGGATTAAGGCTCTTGATTCCAGCAGGTTTTAGCTGAAACCAGACCTTTGAAGGCTTCTGGCTTTTCATTTGATTGAAGTGCTTTCTCCTAAGAGTAGGAGAGAACACTGTCTCCATTTCATGATAAAAAGGCAAAATCTTTTATAGATATTTCATTTTAAATCCTAAAAAAATGTTTTCAAAATTTTTCTTGTTCATGAAACTTTGAAAATTCTGCTTCCCGATGAAATCTAGCCCCAGGCTTTTCCATGGGGCAGAAGGTTATTTTAAGTTTTAACAGCTGTAGTATTATAGAACACAATAGGTCAGAAGATGTTTTGTGTAGTTACAGCTAACTACCAGGATTTATCTCTGAAGGTGTAGATGCCACAATGGAAAAAACCTCTGAAATGTTTTTAGCCTGATTGTTAGTGGTGAAATGTTTTTGATAGTCCTTCTATTTTAAGTGATTAAGTTTGTTTTCTTCCTTGGAGTAAAAATGTTCAGTTTAATTTTCTGAGGTGTAATAATTTTACTTTCAAATATTTTAAACCTTTTGTCCAGTGAATTCAAGTGTTGTTGTAAAGAACTTGGCTGCCTGTAACAGGGTTCTTGTTTCATAAATCATAACTGATCCAGTAACACAATGGGAAAAGTGAAGTTACATGTGCAGAACATGGAATTTCTTTAATTTCCTATATTTAATTATCAAAGATGTAAAAGACATTATCCTTCCTATCCAGTATCTTTAGACAGGGGAAACTATTGTGAGTTTTGCTTCAGCCTCCTCTTTGTCTCCTGTTCTTTGTGTTTCATAGTTACCAAAAACCAAAAGACCACCTCTCTTAAATGAAGACATCTAGGATTAATTAATTACTTTTCATTAACTTTTCATTTAAATTGTATTTGAGATGGCAAAACTAACTCAGAAGATAATGTGGGCTTTCTTCCTTCCCTGCACACAGGAGACACACTCTACTACCGATTCACTTCTGACATGAGCAACACTGAGTGGGGTTATAAGTTTACAGTGACAGCAGGTCATCTGGGCAGGTTTCAGACAGGTAAGAGATGCTCAGAATCTATTGAAAAGGGCCTTTTTTAGTCATTTTGCTGAGCTTTGAGAGACCTGTGGTTATCCCTTTTCCTTGACTTAGAATTTGCATTCAGTGTCTTAGAAATAATGTGATCAGTTTTGTTCAAATTGAAACTCAGCTGATGCATCTTATTTCCTGTGATTTTGGGGTAGAAACACAAAATCTTCACAGAGACTTGGAGATTGCCATTAAAATGATGTAATTTGCATGCAAAATCTCATTATATTATAGTAATTACACAGAGTATTTAGTAAACACTCCAGGATGCCATAACTGGAAACAGAAATAATGGTAATTGCATTTTTCCAAAGTGGTTATCCATTAAAATAGGATGGCTCTGGGTCTAATTTTTGGCATAAGATGTTCTGTTAGTTTATTTCAGAGTTTAAATATTTTTAATGAAATTGAGGCTGATGGATTATTTGCTATCAGCAAAACTCTACTGCATGTCATATAATAGGGAGGGCCTGTGTTTTGTTTGCCTTATTTGGGCAAAAATTTAATTTTGGATATGATTCTTTCCAATTTTTATGTGAGTTTTACCTCAGGAAAAAGTTGCCACGTCAGGATGTAATCTAGAGTTATCTCAGAGTTTTGTTTGGCATTTAAATTCAATATTTCTGGCTTGCAGTACTTGACTATATGAACAGAATGCATCCCTACAAAACTGAACAGCTGTTTGAATTTCCTTTTTTCCTTGCCCCAGGGTTTGAAATTCTGAAGCAGATGCTGTCTGAGGAAAGGGTAATTCCTCACCTCCCTCTGGCCAGGATCTGGGAGTGGCAGGTGGGAGTGGCGTGTCGCCAGACCGGCCACCAGCGCCTCAAGGCCATCCACCTGCTGCTGAAGATCGTGCAGTGCAGCAGCCAGGGGTGAGTGCCCTGCTCCACACCCTGCACTGTGGCAAGGCCAGGGCAACAGAAAGGCACTAAGCTGATACTGTTTTAACCAAAAAAACCCCTGTGATTTGAAGCAGGTTTTCTTAATTTGTCTTTCGATGCAATTTACAGTGCTTGATAGCTTTGAGATCATTTCTGCTTTGATAGCAGAAATGTTTTACTCTCTCTTCTTTCTTGGCCTTTAAAGAAATATAATTCAAATGTTATTGTAAAGAAAAAAAATCATCACAAATCAGAACAAAGGTAGATCTCAATTAATTATCAATAAATTTATTTTCTTTGTATTAGTTATACTGCAGAATTAAGGTAAGGATGAAATAATAACCTGGTAAAGTGATGATCTGATTCTCTGTAAAGTAAATAGCTTCCAAATTATTGTTTTTAGTTGTACCACTAAGCCTGTAATTGAGTTTTAGAAGAGATATGTGTCCCTAAGCTTATGTATATATGGCATGAGTATTTCTAGATGCAAGAACATTTAGCAAAGTGGTTATTTTTTATTGTTAACTGTCACAAATGTATGGTTTTGTTCTCTTAAATTTGATTTGGTTTGCTTTCCTCTCCCCATTTCCAGAAATGGGCATGGTGGTTACTCACTATTGCATCACAATTTCATTAAAATTACTTTTTTTCTCAGGGACTGTGACCTCACCTTACTGAAGCCACTTTGGCAGCTCTTCACCCACATGGAAAACAACTCGTGTCATGACTCGGCCAAGCCTGGTATCCTCCTTCCTCTTCATCGTGCACTGGCAGAACTCTTCTTTGTGACAGAAAACAGAGTTACTGTAAGCAGCTCCTGTGTTTCTATCCCTCCTTTCCTCAGTGCTGGGAATGACAGAGTTTTACACTAAATTCACTTGTCCTTTATCCCTCAGAGCTACAGAAACATTAACAACTTTGAGTGAAAGAGTGTGGCAACAAATTCTAATTAGAGGGGAATTCTGTTACCTTATCCATCACTGGACTTTAAGTGATAGTCATGACTATTAAGGCCCTAAAGCCACTGTTTATTCTGAGAGCAATTCTGGTTTAATAATTAATTTAAAGGTATTTGCATGTGGTTTTCATAGAGTTGGTTTTGAACTTTAAATATGTCTTGAGCTCATTTCTGTGATCACAAACTGTGCTCTAGTTTGGGAGAGTCTGGAGTGCAGTTCTGAGACCTTTGGTTCCTGGGGACTCTAGTGATCAGCATTTTGATGTTAATTAGTAGAATATCACCTTTGGTAGAAACATTGGTGTTCATTGCATGTTTTCTGGCTGCAGGAGCTTGGATCTCTACAGGAGTATTTGCTTGCCTTAAATACTGAAGATCATCTTCATCGCTGCACAGCACAGGTAGGATTGCACAGCCCCGGGGCTGGGAGGGTATTAATTTAAAGGTATTTGCATGTGGTTTTCATAGAGTTGGTTTTGAACTTTAAATATTAATAAAATTGAGCTCATTTCTGTGATCACAAACTGTGCTCTAGTTTGGGAGAGTCTGGAGTGCAGTTCTGAGACCTTTGGTTCCTGGGGACTCTAGTGATCAGCATTTTGATGTTAATTAGTAGAATATCACCTTTGGTAGAAACATTGGTGTTCATTGCATGTTTTCTGGCTGCAGGAGCTTGGATCTCTACAGGAGTATTTGCTTGCCTTAAATACTGAAGATCATCTTCATCGCTGCACAGCACAGGTAGGATTGCACAGCCCCGGGGCTGGGAGGGTCTGGGATCTTTGTGGCAGACACTGGATCATTTCCCATTGCCCAGTGGAGTTTATACAAGAGATATTAATGTGCTTGGTCATTGCAGTACCTTGCCAGGCCTCTGAAAGTTATGAGTGAACTCTGCACAAATGCTTTTCTAGGATACTGGGAAGAAATTCTTCCCATGAGGGTGGGCAGGCCCTGGCACAGGGTTCCCAAAGCAGCTGTGGCTGCCCCATCCCTGGCAGTGTCCAAGGCCAGGTTGGACAGGGCTTTGGAGCACCCTGGGATAATGGAAGGTGTCCCTGCCATGGCAGGGGGTGGAATGAGATGATCTTTAATGTCCCTCTGAACCCAAACCAGTCCATGATTCTAGGTTTCTATTTCTGTTTAGTTTCATATGATTTCTTTACGCTTTGGCCTTGAGGAGAATATTTGGTGTGACTTTGTTTTTCCTTTTCTCTTCTAGGCCCTGAAAAACATTGCTGCTATCAGCCTTGCCATTAACTATCCAAACAAATCAACAAGTTTCTGGAATGTTTAATACTGGCTCAGGCCGGAGTGCATGGGATAGAGTAGTTTGTCCATAGGACATGGGAACAAACATCTTAACTCCATTCAGGAGAAGTTCCTTCAGCTTCAGTGTATGAGCACTCTGCAGCCTTCCTTCCTTCCACCTTGATGTAGAATTTGTAAAAGTAACAGCTCACTTCAATGAAAAAGCACATCCTGAAGTAACTCATGCGTCGCCTACAGTTATGTATGCACATATTGTAGCATGTTAGAGTAAACAGAACAATATTGTTTTTTATTCAGAGGAAGTAAAGGAAAGAAGGTAGCTGAAGTATGAGAATGGAAGGCCCCCACGTTTCTATCATCTGCTCCTGAGGAAACTTGATCCATGAAAGATGTCAGCTTCAGAAAATTGTGCTGAACTCGGGGTGCTGCCATCAGCAGTGTCTGTTGTACATCTGCAGAGTGGAACAGGCAAACCAGAGTCTGGTGGCTGCTCCAGCAATGGTCCATGCTTGGATCCTGTCATTTTTGCTTTGGAGGCTACTTCCCAAGGAAAAGGATTTCAATTCTTACTAAACTACAGGTTGTAAAACAAATTGTGGTTGATTTGCAAAGTAGTTGAAGGATTCCAGTTTCACAGCATCCTTGTGCAAGAGCTTTATGTTTCTCCTGTTCTTTGGGTCACCTGTTCTTACCTTGCTTTATCTCCAGTGTATTATTCCAAATAGCCCATTATTGTAGTGCAGAGAGCAGAGGCTGGCCTTCAGTCACAAGGCAGTGGTGATATGAAGACCTAAAGAACCTACATGATTCTGAAAAATCACATCTTTACAAGAAATTATGAGAAGACATTTTTTTCCTTCAGTTATTCTGATATTAGTGGCTTAGGAGGTCCTTCTTGGCAATGTTGGGAACCCAGACTCCCAGCACTCAGGGTGGGGTTAATGATCAATCCACTCTTATCTTACAGAGCAATAACCACATTTCTCTTAGTGAGCATGGAGTGAATTGCAGACCTTCTATGCTGCAATAAATTGGCTTTCTTCCTGCACAGCTATATTGGTTATTCCCTCTCCAAAGAGTTAAAAAGAACACAGAAATATTTGGGGGTGTATTTTGTGTACCATTGCACAGTTTGTAGAGCTGGTCTTGTCAAATATAAATTCAGATTACTTTTAATGCTAAATATTTTCTTCTTTTCTTCTTTACCCCAACACTGGAGAATGGAAAAAAAAAAGGCAGCCAAAAGCTCTAATAGTAAATTAATGCAAGTTGTGTGAAGTAGTGGCTCTGTCAGAAGGAAATGTATTTATTGACCCTGCTTGTCCAAAATTTGAGTGGTGCCCAAATACCAGTGCACAGGCGCCCTGCTTTGGGGAGTATCCTCTGAACTGATGGTCTTCTCAGTGGGGCTGGAGTTTAAGGGTGGCCCAATCTCCCTCTGAGAGGGAAACATGCAGTAATACATCCCTTGGATTTTTTTGATGGCCTCTTGTGCTGTAGAGTTTTGTTTTGACTTCTGTTCAACCAAGTGAATGCACAGCAAGTGCTGATTTAGAATGGGATTATTCTGCTTGAAAGGCTTAAAACTGAAGTCCAAGAAGCAGCATGCTTTCAGGAATGGAGTGGCTCTCTTAGCAAATGAGAATGCCAGGATTCAGGAAAAGTGTAATATTTGTGAAAGACTGAAAGGAAGCAGAGAGATGCTGCTCTGAAAGCCCTCCTTGAGCATCATGAGTTGATTTCCTTAAAGACATCAGGATGGGAAGGGAATTATCAAGATTGTGGTGTACCTTTAATGCAGAGATCATTCTGTTCCCACACAAGGTGTTTGAGTTTGCAGCCTCCCTGCAGGGCTGTCAGAGATCCTGGGAACCAACTGCTTCACACTTGTCATTGCTGGAACAGATCCTGGCAGGGGAGATGCTCCTAAACTGATGGTAGGGAGTCACGTGGATGGGGCAGGTGAGCACTTGGAAATTGCTTCTCTGGAGCAGGAGGAACTTCCTCTTCACTGCCTCTGTGGGCACCCATGGCTGAGGAATCATGGATCTGCTGTGCTGACATCGCCCGTCACTCAAAGAAGGATTTTTCTTTTCTCACATCAGGGATTGAAGACTGTAAATAAACCATTCATAGAACCTGTCACAGCTCTGTCACAGTCACTTTTTTTCTGTTGGACTGTCCTTTTGCTTTCTGGATGAAGACATGAGGCTGCAAGGATGACACAGGAGTGGCCAGAACTCCTTGCTAGGCATTACCACTCAACTTACTCTACCAGCAGTGACTGGCCTCGTGAGTCAGTCGTCTTGCCCTGAAGGAACTGTCTAGGAACAGTGTCCACTAAATATAATTTCTACCCACTAGATGGAACTGAAGGACTGTGACCTGAGTTGACACTGAATCTGTTGCTGCCTTATAACTCAAATCATTAATTATGGATTTTTTAACAGACAAGAAACACTGATTATTTTTTTTTTCCTTCTGGTAGCTCTAAAGAAAGAGGAATAGAATACCAATAATGAATATTCATGATCAATCACATTTTAAAAATTATGCAGAAGTTCCAAGTGGATGTGAATGATGCTATTGAATTGTATAAAACTGTCTGGAAAACAGGTATGCTGAAAAAAATGTGCCTAATATAAGAAAAACTAAAAAAGTTGTCCTGCCTGAATCACCTATGATGTGTTTAAAACAAATCATATTGTTCCTAATGATACATTTGACTTGCTTTCATTAAACACTTAAAAATGAGAGTTTTATAATTTCTTTTCTTACGGGTTTACTACTTTGCAATTTTTATCAGTTGTTTAAAATATATCAGACCTTTAGATTTATTCCAGTTCAGTTCAACATGTAAAAAGAAAGCTACAGATGTGGGTAAAATATGCAAATGAAGAGAAATATATTGTAAAAATTCTATAAAATCAAAAAAAGTACAACACGGTGTCTGTTTTTTGTTTGTTTTTCTCCTCTCCTCGCTGAATGTTTAATGCTGGAGTTTGTAGTGAGATCCAGGGTTTTTCTTAGGAATCCTCATTTTCCATGCCTGTAAGCAAACCTGCTTGTCCTCATGTGGTTGGTAAATATCTGATATTACATTGAGCTATGCAGGAACCAGACTTCTGGAGTCATCTCTTAAATTCCAGCCCTGCTGTTTACATTCCAGTGGCCTTACCCTAAAAAAATCAGTTTTCCCTTGGATATCCATTGGTTTCAGTGCCTGTGTATATTTACTTTGAGACCTGAAACACACGTCTGGAGGCCTCAGATGTCTCCTGTAAAGCTGAGATTTGTATGAGTAGGTGTTGATTGTAATTAGAGATGTTTATCAGCAGAGGTGCTTGTGCCTACCTGCTCCAGTGGGTTTAATTGAAAAGGTTGTTTGCCTTGGGTTTGGCTCGAGGAAAGGGCTGTGTCAAGTCAACATCTTCCTGTATTTGCCTAAAGCTGCAAGTTGTTTCCTTGGAGAATGGGCTAATTAGGTAATTTTATTAAACACAAATAAATAATAGGATTGTGAGGGTGTGGGAGAGCAAGGATTGTTCCCTGAGGTTTGAGGTTTCAGCTGATAAACCTGAAAAAACTCAGTGTAATTGCTGTGAGATGTAGCGTGGGGCCAGTCACTGGAATGTAACAGGGCACATCCATAGCACCTTGGATCTGCTTTTCAGGTCGAGTTCATTGAGACTGTTTTTCTTCCCAGAGATCAAAAGTAGGCTACAAGTTAGCTTAGAGGTGGATGACTTTTAAAAAATCTACTTTTAGGAGCAGGCTGAGCTGTGTTGAAAACAGCCCTGGCCCAATCCCTCTGTTTTCACAGCCCAGCTCAGGTCTGGTGTTTCCATGGGTTTTTACCTTCACAAACACGAGGGCAACAGCTGCCTGTTGATTCCATTGTAAACCTGGAATGACTGTCTGCAACTCCCTGGAATACCCTGCTATAAAATCTGGGCACACTGGGGCAGAAAAAGTCCCAGTAATCTGATTTACTCCTTCCCCTTTTCAGTGGTGAATCCCCCTGAAGTGAATTGTGCTGGGGAGGCACCAGGACAAGCATCATTCCTGTTTCCAGGGGACAAAACCACAACGGTGGGAGCCTTGAAAAGCATGACCTGGCCTTCAGGGAAAGCTCTAGAATGTTGGAAAACACATTAGGATATGTAAAGAGGTTGGTTTTCAGCACTGGACCAGGAGGCCAGGCTGGATAATAACTGGAACAAAGAATATCTGTTGGTAACATTGCCTGGAAAAACAGGAAAAAAGCAGGGTTTTGTAGGGGGAAGCTGAAGTCTGGCCCACCTCACCTCTGCTTTTAAAGCAGTCAGCCCTGATTCAAGTGAATAAGAGAGAAATCCACGGTGAATAAGTAAGAGATGAAGGAAGTGAGATTAAAGCTCATTCTTTCCATGATAGTCAGGGCTAATGTAATCAGGTCTATTCTGCAGTAAAATCTTTCCTGATTTTTACCTAAGAAAGAACAAATAACAAAAAGCTGGTGCCCAGCTCCAGCCCAGACTGCAGTGGGCCTCACACGTGGGTATGCAGCAATAAACACTTGGGGGAAAAAACCCAAACTCTTTTATCCTCCAGCTGGAAACATCCACAAGCATTCCTGATAAATAGATGGAAATCTTGGGCAGTTTTGTAGTGATCCTTAGCATTTAGAAATTCCCATTACTTGAGTGTAAAAAGAATCAATGTTTGGATTTAGGGAGCATGAGAAAGAAGGGGAGAAGAGATAACTGGTCTGTGTCAAGGATGGGGTCTTTCCTTACAAGTTGGCTGGGGAGTTTTTCCTTCTAATCCTTTTCTGACAACAGCAATGAATTTATTTTTTTTTTCAGCTGGTTTCTTCTTTCCATTCCCCACTTTACTGTCTGACTTCCATAATCTTACTGCATAAATCTTATTGCATTTTGGAGTTTTTTTCTTAACATTTGCAGTGCAAATAACAAATATTTAAACTTGCATTGCATGGAAAAAGTCAGTTTTATCAAACCTAAGGAAATGTGAAGTGCCTGCAAATGTTTGTCACTGGTAGCTTCTCTTGCAGCCTCATTTCCAAAACACTTTGTTGGCATCTCCTCACAGCTGGGTCATCACATCCAGTAGGTGTTGGTAAGGCCACACTAAATTCTTTTAGCTCTGTGTAATGAGTCATTCCCCTTACACTGGCACAGGGTGCCCAGAGCAGCTGTGGCTGCCCCATCCCTGGCAGTGCCCGAGGCCAGGCTGGACACGGCTTGGAGCAACCTTAGATAGTGGAAGGTGTCCCTGCCCATGGCAGGGGGTGGGATGGACTTTAAGGTCCTTTCCAATCCTATTCCGTGGTTCTCTGATCTTTTACACACCTTCGTGTTGTGGGCTGGACCTCTGACATCACTGCCCTTCAGACACCCAAAGGTTTTGACTTCCTCAACCACTAAGAACCAACAAAACACCTGAGGAATCACAGGAAATGCTCCCCCTTAGGATTTTATACTTTCTAATCAGCAAAAGCATCCTGTGCAGATTTTCCTCTCCAATAAGTCATCTATGATAACGCTTCCATGTGCGTATGTAGGTAGACATTTACCGGGGCTTCAGTTCATCACTGTGCTTATCTTGGATCAAGTTAAATATGGAATTAAGGTGTAATCTTAAGCACATCTAGTTCAGCTTTTAAAGGTAGGCTTTAAATTGGGTTTGTTGCCTTGGAGCCTAAACAGACCGTGCTGTTGATGGGAAGTGCGCAAATCGCGTGGCTTTCCCTGGCATCCAGCACAATCTGCAAAGGCAGAAAACAAAAAGATGAATTCTTGAGTCAGGAGAAGTGTTGAGTCAGGAGACCTTTAGTCTCATCATTTCGCTCGAGAATAAATCATGTCTGTGTTTCTTACCCTTCTCCTCTACATCAACCACCCACAGAAAGCTCATTCATCAAAAACGTCAATGGTTTCCCAGAGATCTCCCCGCTCCCACCTTGGGGTTTTTATTCCCCTGAGCAGCAGGTTGGGCTCTTTTCTCCCCACCAATGTTTTTTTCTTGGTGGGGGAGTGAAGGAGGAGGTTGTTTGTTTGCTTGTTTTGGTTTTCGGTTTTGTTCCTTCCTACTGTGGTTTAGTATTTAAAAGGAAAATTTCATCCTCTGTGGGGTCAGTATTGGATACACTGCTGGATTTTAAACTACATCATTTTTTCCCCCCACTCAATTTCCAGTTTCAAAACACACCGTGATGCATTTGATCTTTTGCCACCTTATTTTTCTGCAGAGGATGGCTCAGCCCCTTCAGAGGTGATGGCACTGGGAGGGTGTGCTCAGTGCTCACTGCTCTGGCTCCTCCTGTCCTTAGGTCGAGGAAGGCAATCCTGTGGTGGTAGGACCTGGGGGGCTAAAAAGAGCTGCTTTATTTACCAGAAACTCAAACCTCTCTCAAAGCCTCACTTTGCTTAGCACTATCAGAGCTGCTGCTGGGCAGTGATAGCTTGTCTTTAATTAAACCAGCACAGAATTGAGGGGGAATATCCATGGATGAGGAGTGTGGCCTGATGTCCACTGCCTGCCTGTGCCCTGTGCTTGTGCCTTCCCTGCTCTGTAGCAGTTCCTCTGCTCCACGAGGCTTCCTCACCTCCAAAACCAGTGTTAGACGGGCACAAGGAAGATCCCTCCAGATCCTTTGGTTTTTCCCTGCATTTTTCCAACGCTCGATGCCTCTTTGTGGGGTGCAGCGAAGGCTCAGGGCAGCCGTGGTGTGCGGGCTCTCCAGGCTGAGTAGCTGCTGCTCTTAGACACTTTTTCCTGCACTAAAATCGCGTTTCCTCCCTTCTCGTTGCCTCAAGCGCACCCCGAGCCCTCGCCAGGCAGCCGAGCTCGGATCTTCACCAGCGGGGAACGGCGAGAGCCGAGCGGGGCCGGGGGAGCCTGCTCCGGGCGGGGACAGCCACAGCCAGGCCGGGACTGGGACTGGGAATGCCTGTTCTGTACAGGGACAGCCGGACACGGCCCCTGGCTGCCCGGCCCACATTACCTGTTCTGTGCAGCCACAGCCACACACAGAGCTCGGGGTTGTCGGACCCAGCATTGCCTGTTTCATACAGGGACAGCCACAGCCACACACAGCCCAGTGCTGCCCGGCCCCGCAGCCGCTGCCGGGCTCTCCTGGGCTCTGCTGGGCTCTGCTGGGCTCTGCCAGGCTCTGTTGGGCTCTGCGGGCTCTGTGGGGCTCTGCGGAGCTCTCCCGGGCTCTCCCGGGCTCTCCAGGGCTCTGAGGGGCTCTGAGGGGCTCTGCCGGGCTCTCCTCTGTGGGGCTCTGCCGGGCTCTGTGGGGCTCTGCTGGGCTCTGCCGGGCTCTGTGGGGCTCTGCCGGGCTCTGTTGGGCTCTGCGGGCTCTGTGGGGCTCTGCGGAGCTCTCCCGGGCTCTCCCGGGCTCTCCAGGGCTCTGCCGGGCTCTGTTGGGCTCTGCGGGGCTCTCCCGGGCTCTGAGGGGTTCTCCCGGGCTCTCCCGGCCTCTGAGGGGCTCTGAGGGGCTCTCCCGGGCTCTCCAGGGCTCTGAGGGGCTCTGCGGGCCGGGGCAGCTGCAGATGCATGAGCTTCCCTGGCTGACAGCAGCTCTGAGGCTCCTCCGAGCTGCAGGCCCCGTGTGTGACACTGCGGGCCCGGCTCTGCCTTTTGCAGCACGCGTTCCATTCCTGGGCTCCTGCGAGAAAGGAGTTTGCATGCCCTGGGGGAATTCTGGATTTCCCCCAGAAAGCAGCACCCTGTCCCTCACCTTACCCCGGGACCAGCTCTGTGTGGCAGCCCGACCTCCCTGGTCTGTGTCCAGTTTGTTCCCTCCTCAGAAAGTGGCTCCTGGCACACAAGTGACCCATCAGCCCTTTGCAACCCCCATGGGCACAGCAGAGATGCCACCATGGGCAGTGCCAGTGCTCCATCGTCTGCCCAAGGCAATCTCTGGCTTTTT